TCGCGGTTTTTTGGCTGCCACAAAAGGGCGTTGGAGTTGGCGCGGGTCCCAGCCGCTCCGCGATAGGCATGTGGATGAGGTGCCAAGCGGAGGGGTCGGTGGCAAAGTGTCTGTACACGTTCTTCATCTGAGCTAATCTGGTTGCCTTTTGTGTGTGTTTCAGGCAAACTGCCGGCTAAAGCAGGCTGAAAAGGAGTACAGTCAGAAGCTGGCTAAATCCTCGCAGGTAGGTAGCGAGAAGACAGGAACCTCAGGTGAACGCATTTGATTTGGAAACTTGATGAGAAGCGTAATTATTTCTGCTCTGAACTGTAGGGCTTGATGATAAAGAGAAGCCATAATCATTTCCCAATCCAGTGTCTGTCTTACTGATTTTAACCTTTCAAATAAGAAAGAGCATTAAAGCTGACTAGAAAATATGGGTGGTGGTTTTTTGAGTTCAAAATTTTATAGAATCCCAGCCTGGTTTTTGTTGGAAGGGACCTTAAAGCTCATCCAGCTCCTGCCCCTGCCACGAACAGGGACACCTTCCACTAGAGCAGCTTGCTCCAAGCCCCTGTGTCCAACCTGGCCTTGAACACTGCCAGGGATGGGGCAGCCACAGCTTCTCTGGGCACCCTGTGCCAGCACCTCAGCACCCTCCCAGGGAAGAGCTTCTGCCGAAGAACTCATCTCAGTCTCCCCTCTGGCAGGTTAAAGCCATTCCCCTTGGCCTGTCCCTACAGGCCCTTGTCTAAAGCCACTCTCCAGGTTTCCTGTAGCCCCTTTAGGCACTGGAAGCTGCTCTAAGGTCTCCCTGGAGCCTCTCTTCTCCAGGCTGAACAAGCCCAGCTCTCTCAGCCTGTCTTCACAGGAGAGGTGTGCTCCAGCAACCTACTTTTTCATCTCCTGAGCACTCAAGAGGTCCGAATCCTCCCCCAGTCAGTGGGAAGGGAAGGTGAAGTGCCGTGTTAACCAGCTCATCTCATAAAATCAGGAACATTCACACAACCAGGGCTTGCATTTAGTGTTACAAGGTGATGGTTTCCAGCGCAGCCAATGGCAGAATGGCATTCCCAGTTCTGCCATCTCCGTGGTCATCATTGCTCCTAGGCCCTTCAGCATTTCTGCCCAAAATAGCACTTTGAAGAGTGTCAGTGCCCTGAAAGCAAAGTGAGTTTGACGTGAGTTGTTGTTCTTCAGAGTAGTCCTTTGAACATGGAAGATGAAGATGGGTGTTGAATTTACATATATACTTAAAAATGTGAAGACAGGATGATTTTGAAATATTCCAGCTGTCAGTTTGATTGATAGGCAATATTGAAGTGTGAAAACTGATGGAGATGCAACCAGAAGTTAAGCTTTTAATAGTAAGAAAATTGCCACGAGGTTTTATGTGAAGGTGTCATTCTTCTCATTCCTCCCAACCACATCAGAATGCCTGCACTTGCAAAGTGTGTTTTCAGCAGTAGTAATAATAGTCTCATAATGCCCTTTAAAAATCAATAAAAACACTGCAAAGAATGGTTGAGAGGCCTCTAAACTGGGCAGAAGTGATCAGTGAGACAATAACAAGAAACTGCAAACTTTACTGGTTTACCAAAATTTATTAAAACACAAGATTTAAACTTTTTGGCTACCTTTGAGTCTCTGTATCACTTGTCCAAACTGTGACTTTAGTTGTTTCCCTGAAGTTTATTGGGCTATCACTGCTACACACTACATTTTTTTCACTGCATTTATCAGAAGCATTGGTAAATAAGTTTTTACATTATATTTCTAAATCCTGATTTATATTTTCTGCGCACGTATTTGCATACAGAGAGATTGTGAAGTCTCCATCCTTGGAGACACTCAAAACCTGACTGAGCAGCTAGCTCTGGTGACCCTTCTGCTCTCACCGGTTCCATGATTCTGTGATACATCAGAGAAGATGCTCTCCTAAATATCTTTTAATAATTTGTTTTGGGCCTTACATAGAAAGAAAGAAACAAAACCCAGCACCCCCCATTTTTTTATCTTGCCACCTGAACCTGAATAGCAGAAAAATTATAAAGCTCAAAATGTAACATTTATTGCATGCCAGACCTGAAGGAAGAGAACACTTTCATTGCTGATTCTATTTTACCTCTTGTCATTTTTATGCTGTTGTCATGCCTAGTGAGTGTGATCAGTCAGCCTCTCTGTGCCAGACATAGTTTACTATCAATACAAAAATGGGTCTTGGTCCATTTGTTGAAGAGAGATGGAATAGAAGCATTTAATAATTTAATTTAATAATTTAAGCCTTTCTGAATGTTTTAAACAAAGGCTGAGCGAAATTGCTGTAATTGTTGCAGGGGGAACACCTAGGTGCAAGGTAATGACTATTTAACCTCAATGTCATAATGAATTTTGTCAGACTGAAATTGTTTGGCCTGTAGAATAGTCTCAAAAGGGAAAATGTGAGACTTTCTCTTTTTTTCAAGCTAGGCATTGCTGTAGCTAATACACTGTTCTCTTACTGGGGAGAGATGGACGCAGTGGCCAGAGCTGGCATCCCTCCGTGCTCTCAGTGGCAGACACAACACATGCATCATGCATCAGGGCTATTTGGCACAATAAAGGAGTTTCACCCTGATGTCTGAATGTCTTTACTTTAGTGGGCTTGAATCAAACCCCCGAAGTTACTTGGACATAGGGGGGTTTGTAGCTCAGTATTAATAATAGGTCAGTTGCAACTTTTCTTGTGGCCATGTTGCTGACAACATCTGTCTAATCTTACTCTCTGTGGCCTCTTGGAACATTCACTTTTAACACCCACACAGAGGAGAGATTTCAAGACATTTCCTCTGAAGTTTATACAAAGTAAACATATTTTTTTTCCTCTGAAAAGCACTGCACAAAGCACATCTTTCTCCATCAATTCATGCTGAAATTGCCTCGCATGCATTTCAGAACTCCTGTGCGAGCCCAGGGACTTAACCTAGTCAAAGCTTTAAATCTCATTCTTGTGTTATATGAAAGGGTTTGTTACAGGTTTGCATGGCTTCAAGTTGTTATCTTAATATTTCATGTGGTTTTATATGATCCGTATAAGTGGTTACATACCAAAAAAAGCCAAATTTATGCAAATTGTGGCAGCTGAATGATGGCCTGAATTGCAAACCCAGTGGCACTGCTTAATTCTTCCTAAAGAGTTACACCTACCCAGATAATCTCTACACTTTGGCACACTGATCTTATTAATAGCCTTGCTTTTAATTGGTGTATTGTATTACTTAATATGTATTTGGTTTTAGAAAAGAAATACAGGAATATCCATGTAGGTTTTACTCTGTGTTACTCTCTTAGGTTTTCAGGTAGTAAAACAGAGAATTAAGTTTTCTGTAGAGCTTCAGTCAGTCCTGTTTCCCTTCCTCTGTGATTTTAGTACCTTCATTTGTAGCATCTCTCTTATTATGTTAGTCCTATCCTAGTAGTAGTGTTTAAAAGCCATTTTTTTTTTCCTAAAGAACTGTGTCCTTAATATATCTTAATGTTTCTCTACCAAAGAGGAGGCCTTGAAAACACAGAGGTCCGAGCACTCTGTAATCCCTCCCTGACTTGCCTGTGTGCTGAAGTGTTCTTAGAATTAGACTATATTATGCTGCTACAGCAGCTTTACCTTAAGCTTGCATATATACATTGAAGTCAGTGACTCTCCCATATGTTTAAGTGCTTTGCTGGGTGATGACATGTCAGCATAAAATTCTGTAAATATGCCGAAAGGATCAGGTTTAGTTATGACTTTTCCCAGTGATAAAAAAGGTGAAACAAGTACATTTCAACAAATCATGAGCGACTCACGTAAAAGGGCTGGTTTAAGGGTCCTGGACATTGAGTCAGGTCCCCACTGTATTGCTAAGCAGAATATGCTCCTTTCAGCAGCTCAGAAGTTTTCACTATCAAGTTTAAATTTCACTCCAGTATGTAAATGTGGGTGTTTTTCTTCTCTGCAGTATCAAGTCTCAAGCTATAAAGTATCCAAACACCACAACCACCATGTGAATTTGCACTGCTGGTTTCAGTGCAGTGGCAGGCTGGAAGCATGCTCTGTTCTAAAGATCACAGATGTGCTTTGTTCTCATGAGTAAATATTTTGGAATGTCATAGTGGAAAACCCTTCCAAATATTTTGTGTTCAGCAGTTTTTGTCATTTGCAGCTTTATTTCTTTTCTCTGCATGGAATTTCATGCTTGCTAGTGTGTCATATGTTAATTTAAACTATTTAGCTTGCGCAGCAGAGTTTGCCAATGCCATGCTTGTAGCGAGCATAAAAACATGCAAAGTACATGCCTTTAACTGAAGAGAGATTTAGCATGCTGTTTTCTTTTTAGATCATAGCTGAACTTAAGACAACCATTTCCTCTCTGACAGAGGAGAGCAGCCGGCAGCAGCTTGCCGCAGAGCAGCGGCTCCAGGAAGTTGTACAAAAGTTTGAAGATAAGAAGCAGCAGCTGATTATGGATAATGACAGAGCAATCAAGGTAATCTGGGGATTTTAGTCACTGATGCTACTGGCTGTTTGAGTGTAATTAAAAGTTCTGCAGTGGGCAGATGAATGCAGGTATCATTCCTGTTCACACAGCGCACACTAATTCCATTCACTGGACCTTGACTTTGATGTATCTGATGACTCAGGCTCGCGTTCCTCTAGCTGATCATACGCCTGCATAAAACCTTTGGGTTTGGCGAGTCTAATCCATCCACTTCAGTCAAATACTTCAGACTTTCCTGTTCTCTTTCTTCTAGTATTGACTCAGATGTTTTAACATATTTTCAGCACCTTTATATGAGTGCTTTTAGTACTTGGAAAAAAAAAGGTGAAAATAGGAGAGCCCACTTGGACACGGGCTTTAGCTTGGTTTTCACAACACTTTCTTAACTTTCACATTTAAGGCTACAATGAAAGAAAGTATGTTCTTAGGTTCCATTGAAAACTATGCAAAATCTGTGCTAGATATGAATGGAATAAAGTATTTCTCATGCACAACTTTTTTTTCATTAGATTTCTGATGCATCAGAGTTGCGTTGTCTGTCCTGTGCCAAAGAAGCTTTAAGAGACTATGTGTTCTGAATATTTGGGCTCTGCTTCTTGCTGCTTTCACATCTTGATTCAAAGCGACTGCAGAGAATCCCACCTGCAGAAGCAAGCAGAATCAGTTTTTAAACACTTTTCCTTTCAGACTAGTAAAGAGCAATGGAAAAAGTTAAAACTATGCAATCTGCAAGGGCTGACAACAAAAACACTTCATTAAAAGTTGTATAGAAGAAGGAAATTCCTTCCTTTTTCTTTGTAAAGACATTTACTAGTGCCAAACAATGAATAGTGGTGTTAAATCCAGAAACTCATGGTTTCTGCACAGGGTTTCTGAGCAGTGTCTCAGCACTGGTGCTGCAAGTATGTTTTGTCAGATTTGGTCAGCTTGGGGAAGAAGTTAGAGAAAATGTTATCCTTGGAGTTCCTGAACTTTGTTTAGTATCACTACTATTGTACTGCTAAGAAATATTCCTTTGAAACCACTGATTTAATGGAATTTACTGTAAGCCAGGTACCCAAACAGAAAATTCTTAGGAAGGTAAACGGCTGTGTATACTTCTGGAAACAGAAAGAGGTGGTTTTAATACTCAATCACTTTGTATTTTTTAAGAACCACACATACTTCTAGATGAGCATGTGTACAAATACTTTGCTTTTATTAGCTTGGGGCAAAAAACACTGGTTTTCATGGAAGTAGAATCCTAGATACGCTGGAGATGAGGAACAGCATCTATCCTAGGGCAAGCTGAAGACTTTGAGGGGTGATTAAAAACATTCTAAAAACAAAGTAACTCTTAATATAGCATAAGCCTTTGAGAAGACTTAATATAGTAGAACCTATTAAAAATACTACGGTTAAAATACAGGCATTTGCTAAATATAACATTGATTTAAACTAACATTGAGAAACACATTGCAATTTCCTTTCTATGGTATTGAGTGACTTCCTGTAAGACCTTCCAGTTATTATTTACTTTCAAAGGGAGAAATCCACTTTTACAGAAGCAAAGTAGCTCTCCAAGAAATTTTGGATGTAGTCAGTAAAGTGATATCCAGATCTGGATGCCATAACACATGAGGTCGATGTTAATTCATATTTTTGACTTGCTTTGCTAGTTAGATTTCTGCATTGATATTTCACAGTTGTATCTAGCTCCTTAATGTTGATTATTTTTTAAAATAGTATCTTAAACATTAGTAAAAAAGAATAAATAAAACTTTTAAGATCGTTTGGCCACTTTTGACAACCTAAAAACCCCAATCTGAGCAATGCTTTTTGGTTTCAGGTGGCCTCATTTTGGGTCAGTTTGAAGCAAATGCTTGGAGTACTTGCCATTCTGTATTACATGGTGATTTATCTGGCCTAAAGGCAAGTCAGACTTTGTGCTGTCAGAGTCATAAAATCAGGATAAAATCTTGGCTCACTGCGTTCCTTTCTTGTGGGTTATAAGGTAACCAGTTTGGATGCCATGGAGTTGCGATGTCTAATAACGAAGAGCTGAGCAGCAGTGGTCTGACACAGTGCTGAGCAACTGATGGACTCCTGTCACTGCCTTTCCTCTGCTGTTGAGTTTGAGCTTGTTGGGATTACAACGCTGTTGGCACAGAATAATTCCAAAAGTACAGCTCACCCTTCAGTAGATATCTTTGCTTTGAACTTACCAGGACTTGTATTCTTTGGAGCAGAGTACAAGGACAGTGGAATTGGCCTGGCATGGGGCAAATCCAGCAAAGCTCACCTGGTCTCTGTGCCATGCCTCTCCTGTGATGTGCTTACACTTCAAAGATCAGGAACCATTGGTTTAGACCATAGGATTAGTTGAGAGCACAATTATATTAATGCCCTGCAGATGCTTGGAAAAGCTGCTTAAATTGCCATGTCTGTTAACCCATTTATGATGCTTCAAACTGAGGTTTTAGAAGGCACCTTCCAGTCAGGGTTTGGGTGCTGAACTCCTCTGAATGCAGTGCAGGAGCTATGCTGGTCACTGAGGTGTAGTATAAACTTATTGAGGTTAAATTTATGAGTGTTCTGGCATCCCAATAGCAATCCAGCCACAACAACCCCAAGCTTAACACAGACAAATGGTCAAAGCATTTACCTGACTGTGCTGCTGCTTTGGGCAGTGGTTGCTGGCTGGACTTGGCACTAACATAAGGCTGATTGAATTGTAGAGATACCTTGAGGTTGTTTATGAAATCCCAGCCTTAGGATTTTTATTTTATTTATGAAATCCTTTTGGATTCTGGTATTTAAAGTGCAAAACAGTTCCTGGGATTGGAACTGCAAAACATGTTCAGAGCATTTTAATGAAGAAGTTGATGGCCAAGTGGGGACTCCACATCAAAAAGTAGATTCTGGAAAGCAAAGGATGATGGAGAGCATGCAGTGACAAACCCACAACAGAAAAGGGAGAAAATGATGCTTTTTTGCCAGAGGAACCACATTTGTTGTTTGGCTCTCATTCCAGATTCTAGGATTCTGTTATATCCCCTGAATTAACACCAAAATTTCATTAGCAAAGCATGGTTTGAAGATGACATATTTCAACACTTTGTGTGTCAGCCAGCTTATGATCAGTCTAATTCTGTTAATAAATAAGACTTAAAAGATTTCTAGGAAAGAATGTCATATAATAATGTTCCACTTTGTGTGAACAATTTTGAAACAGTTGTTTTCCTTTGTCGTGTTTAAACATGTTGAGAGGGCAGAAAAAATCAGAAGTGGATTTTATAACCAGTGCAGAACAAAGGAGAAAACTTCTGGTTTTAAGTTGTCTGGGCTTATGTGGGCATTGAGTGTTCTCAACATCATCATGTATTGTTAGATGCTGTTGTATCTTGGAGCAAAAAGATCATTTCCTCTGTGGAAGGGTTGGACTGGAGATTTTAGCAACACAGTGAGATTTCTCGATGCAACTATAACAAAATCCTCACCCTGCTGTAGCTGTGCTAGGGTCAGTCCTTGTATGGGGTCTCTATTTCTTTTTGTTCTGGAATACTATTTCCATAGGGGGGTTTATACTGATATTCCTCTATTTTAGCACGTCACAACGAGAGAACATGGTGTCTTGGGCTTGTTGCTTGCAGCACCCATCTGCCACCCAGCCCACCTCTCCAGTCTGCCCATGTCCTGCTGTGCCAGGTCCATGTGTCCTTGTTTGGTTTGCATTATCCTCCTCCCTTCATGTTTGGTTCCTGCTAAAAGTAAAACACATTATTTTAAACCTTGGGATGCTTGAAAGCATTCAGAACATTTCATTAAGGGCATCTCATATTTTTGTTTCCAGAAAGCAGTTGTCAAAATATACTGATGGTATTTACAGACATCTCTAAAACACAGTGAAAAAGCTAAGTTTGTGTGTAGTTACATTTCATTATCAGCCATGATTATTAGCAAATTCCATTTGTAATTACAAATAATATTTTGTATTAAAAGAACAAGCATGTCAGAGCTATGAGAACATTAACTAAATGACTAGAGTCCTGCAGAAGTATTTAGTCTATTGTCCTCAAAATACCTTTTGGAACACCACCATCATACTCTGCAATAGCCAATGTTGGGTTTAGTAAGAACTTATTTGTTGGGTTTTGGAGCCAATCACTAACAAAACTGTGCAGTGCTGGATGGTTGGAGTGATTCTAGAGGTGAGATTGCCCAGTGTTAAAGCCATGTCTGACAAGTGCATTTGCGGTCCCATCAGACCCTTTTGATGAAGCTGGGCAGGTTCAGTTCTGTACCTGGTTGGGAAGGCTGCTGACAAGTTTCCAAGCCATGGCAAGTAAAGGAGGAACAATTTACATGTTGAGTATTTTCTCTGTGTTTAAAGCACAAAGACTGGAATGGTTGGATGCAAAGCGATGACCATGAGTAAGTGAGAGCACTGAGGACATTCGTTAGGGAAAAAAGCCCTGAAAGCTTAGTGTAAGCTAAAAATTATAATCTAAACTGTAGGGTAAAGTGAAGACATATGTTATGTCAAGGACACTTTGTTAAGTGAGTCTTGACTTGCTCTCTTCTCCAGCATACACTGGTTCAGTAGGGTTAGCTGTTATAGTCTAGACTACTGTTGAATAGCTGCACGATAGACTTTTGCTAATAAGACCCACATTATTTATAAGCTTTTTTTAATATTTTATTATATTCTTTAACTTGTCTGAAGGTGGGGTGGTTTTTTTTAGCTAATAGCGCCTGTAAAAAGGAGGTCAGCATTTCAGTGCTGAAGCTGACACTTAAGTCTTACAGGACATCTGGTCAGAATATGTATTGCTGTTTGTGATGGTTCAGTGGCAACAGACATGCAGGATTCTGTCAGTCATCGACGATCTTCAGAGCTGTGTGTGTCACACAGTTCTCCAGAGAGATCTCAAATCCATCTAATTGCCTTTGTCACTGAACATTACCATGATAAACCATTTGGCATGGTGAGGTAAAGAGTTTTAAGGGACAATCTTGATGTAAAATACAGGGAGTCATTTTTCATGGATCTCTGTCGCTGAATTTAGTCTATAATAATACTAATAACTCTGCAGTGTCTTTTATTAGTGGGGAATTACAAGGCACCAACATTTGTACCTTAGCATTGTAAAGCAGGCATTAAAATTTACCAGGCAAATAACATTATCTTGCTCCTAATTTGCTGTATTCTGTTTGATCAGCAAAGGAAGTCATGTCTTCCACAAGAATAGGTAAATGAAATCTGCAGGTCTTTTCTGGTTTTGCTTTCTCTTTTACATGGGGTCAAAACTCTGAGGCACCTGTTTTTCATGGTCTTTGTTTATATGAATACTGGTTTCACCCAAATTTTGTCTGTTACAGAGATGAGGGTTTAGCCCCAAGCTTTTCAGCTGTGCTCATGCTCTGTCTCTTGATTCCATTATGTGGTTATCTTTAAAAAGCTCTATTGGCACACTCATTATAAATGATCATGAAAATAGGCTGATTTCCCTGTTCAGGTTAGATAAATATTGATCACAACTGAAATTTTGGGTTTAAAAAGCCCTCTCTCCCTTTCAAAATTGTATCTCTCTTTTTCTGTTGCCACAGAAATTATTTCATTGTCTGCAGCATAGTACCTTCTCTTCAGATTTACAGGGTTTCAGATGTTTGGCCAATCAGGCAATCCAAGTGGCTGAGCATCTGTAAGTACTTTATAATATCTTTGACATGCTTTGTGAGACAAAGAATTGAGTCATCTTTCTTTTTCCTGCAGCAAGCTTTGCACTCTGGCATTTTTCTTGACTTTTCATGTCTCAACACATTGAAGAACTTACCATGGCCAACAGCAAAATCATACTTACAAGTTTATAAAAGACTAGAACTAGTGCTTGCCTAGTCCTCTGAACTGCAGGCCAGATTTATCTGGCAGGTTTTACAGTTTGTATTTTCACTTTTTCCCACATTGTCATTGTTGTCTTCAGTGTTTTGCTTTCCCTCCACAAGGCACTTTGCCTCGTAACAAAATCTCAAGTCTTATATAGCTAAGCTATCAGTTTATTCTAATGAGTGGACTACACTGATTTTGCACTGGAAAAATGGTGGGAAAGGATGCAAAGCAAGCCGTAAAATTCACTGCTTTTAACTGACAAGACAGGAGTAATAAGGCTGAGTGGGGTCCAAAGCCATGAGAAAAGTACAGAGAAAACTCTTTTAGTAGTAACTTTAAGTAATGCAGTCTTAAGCCTACACAGCCAGTTAAGAAGGGCAGACAATGTTTATCACAATGATAGAAGAAAATGAGAATCGGCTTTTTTAAGGCTGCTGTGATGGTTACAGTTTACTGTTGCATTTCAAAGGCATTTTGCTCTCCAAAGAGCACAGGGAATTTTATGTGAAGGAGAAAGTGGTGCTTAGAAAGGCAGAGCTGAGGAGATACCCAGGAGGTACGAGGCAGACTGCCTGGGAGGAAGAGCCTGTGCTCCAAAGTCTGGGATTTTACTGGAGAGGGGAATGAAAAAGATGAAGATAAAACCAAGTTTCTAACGTCCTCCAAACACAGGGCATCTGTAAAACAGTCTGTGCATGGGACTGTGTAGACTTTCCAAGGCCTGTTCTTTGTTCCAGTTCCAGTGAGTTCCTGGAACACAGCCTCCTTCCCTGCTCCTGGAACAGCCTTGACTGCAGGGCTTCTCCAGCCGTGTAGGTGGAAACACAATATGTGTGAACTATATATTCGACCAACAAAAGATTGCTGGAGAAAATGACATCTTCAAAGCAAACCTTCTGTAGTCCACAAACATTTATTACTCTGTAGTAAAGGTTTTTAAAGCCTGGCACAGTAACACAAGTGCTGGGTTTGGCAAATAGAGATTTAGGGATGTGGACCCGGTCTACTTATCAACATGTATTTCCTTTAGATAGCTATCTTATCGCATGGCTCATCCCAAATAGCATCAGATTGCTCATGCCCACACAATTTCCAGTATTTGTGTAAACCTTTTATTTGCAAAACTGTATGTTCTTATACAGGTTTGCTTTTGATTTTGTACTATTCATGGTGCTAGCTGCTCCAGGGCTATCAGCAGGAGAGAGTCACTGAGGATTTCAGCTTTATGCATTAAAATGCTTCTGCCAAACTGAGTGTTGACTTTAGAAATCTTCAGATTCCATTTAGAATTTTCGGCTGGCTCTCCTGCTTTCTGTGTAACTGAAGCTCAAGCAGATCAAATATCAGAGTGTTTTTTACAAAACGACTGGCTAACACTTTCTGAATGGCAGATCACAGTGAAATAGAAATATCTTTGTTAAACTTCCCATTTTCATGATAGTTGTGCTTTTCTTAAGTGTAACAAGAGAAACCTGGTGAATCCAATAGCTGTACAAGTTAACTACTAATGTTTAAAGGCAGAGTAGCAGTAGAACCAAGTGGTCAGTTAGCACTCAGTTTTTAGAAGGCATTGCCTTATTTTCTGTAATTAGAGTGTTTTTTTTCCATACAAAATGAAAATACCAATTGTTTCGTTAGCATTAAAAGATTAGTTACAAAGAGCTACTAAAGGAAAGCAGCCAAAGCTGCCATATTTCTGCCACTTTCTTGCATCAGTGGAGTTGAGAAGAAAGGAACTTTCCAAGTTCCAGTACTGTACTTGAAAAGGAAAAAAGTATGCGGTGACTTTTATCTGTGTATTCAGTAGATCAGATGGCAAACTCCCCCAGACAGCCTAGCAGGGGAGCAGCTTCTGCTTTTCTCAGTAAGCCCCAAGTGGTGTGAAGCAGCACCAAGTACATCAAAAGCTACAAATGTGCATCGAGTGTAAAGTTTGGGGGTTTCAAAACCTCTGTCTAATTAGCACAGCTCGTATATTTGTGAGTTCTAGCTCTGACTTTCTCATAGTTGCATGCTCAGCAGAAGTGGCTTTTTCATCACACAACTTTGTGTAAGCAGTTAAACCTACAAATACTGTCACCAAACCTGACCCTTCGGATCCTTGGTACAGCCCTATCTTGTTTCCTTCTAGCATCAATCACCCCATTGTGCCCAGCTAGAAAATGTGAGGTGTAGCTCTTAGCCAGTTTTTTTTCTAGAAGAACAAGATCATTTTAATTGAATGTTATTATCAGCCAGTTCTTGTGGTTTGATGTGGATTCCAGATGAAGCAGTTCATCTGCTTGGAGAATGTGTAGGCACTAATATCATAACCTCAGTCAGTTTTTGCATGCTTCCGTCCTAAGGGAAGTTGGTTTGACTTGCCCTTCATTGGACATTTAGTGTCCTGTTGGCAGGCAAAATAGCACTAGAGACCAGAAACAGAAAAAATGCTATTCTTGTATCTCATGCTTTGCTCCTTTTCCCATTAAGTCTGTATTGTAAACATTTTCCATTAGGCCCTGTATACCTTGCTGCTGTGCAGTTCAACGGAACCACCTCTATGTGTTCATACAGTACATGTGTACATAAGAAGGTGAAAAACTAGGTGAATTTTATTGAAAATACACATTCTTCTTTGAGCCTTTTGCATGTGCATAATATGCACACTCCATCTTGCACTGGAGTTTGAGATGCCTTCCCTAAGAATGTTTGTTGTTGCTTATTCATGCAGCATCTATACTGTGTTGATTCTTATCATTGATGAACAGGATTTGATACAGTAATTATTTTGTTTACCCTTGAGAACATGCAGAAGATGACTGAGGACTTGAAGCTGAAGCTCACAGAGAAGACGGGGAGCCTCAAGGCTGAAACTTTTTCTTAAGCTCT